CCCAGCAACTAAGTGGCCCTCGCGCCCTGGCCACCTTCTTCCCCTGCTGACCTTGAATGGCATCTGCCTGTGCAGACACATTGATTGTATTTGCTAGCTGAGACTGAGTGGGAGAGGCATAGATTCAAAGCATGGACGGACTATTCAAAGGGGGTGAGGGAGGCCTATAACACATGGGCACCAAGGTAGAAGGCACCCAAAGTGGATGGCCTGTACATTGGGTACCATGGAGGTGATTTTCTGTTCAAAGGACCAAGATAGACTTGCTTTTGAATGAGTAGGTGTCCTTTCTCTGCCGTTTCAGTCTGAGGACACCCCCGGGCCCTGGTTAATGGCTGTGAATGGAAGTCCCAGGAAGAAGCGATTGACTTGTTTCTATTGGTATAAACTGGGCACCTCATGTCTCCCTTCCAGTGCATTTCCTGACAGTCCGAGAAGGCAGATTTTGCCTGCGGAAAAGCCTTTGTGGCTGCTGGGGCCGTAGACATAAAGCAGCCTGGATTGAAAGTGGTTCAGTAAGAGACGCTGCCCTAATTGTTCGCATCTGTTTTTCTCTGGCCTGGCTGAGCCGGTGGGTTTGGAATGGGTTGCTCTTGAATGCCCACCATGTTTGCCCACTCCAGCAGTCATCTCCATCCCCTCCATTGTGTGAGAAAAGGTGCTCTCAGATACTCACTGGGAGCGTGAGCCGGCTCATTCTTTTGAGAGGCTAATGTGGCAGTATCCAGAAAACGTGTGTGTGCCCAGGTATACGCGCGTGTGCGCACACACACGCACACACAATATACATGTGTGAGTATATATGTAGAGGCCAGAGGCCAATATCAGGTGTCCTTCCCTTTTTGAGACAGGGTCTTCCCAAGCTTGTTATTTTACTGACTTGGCTAGACTATCTGACCGGGAATCTTCTTGGCTCTGCCTGTCTGGTTTCGAGATTACAGACTGCATCTGGTCTTTTGAATGTGGGTTTTGGCGGCTAAAACTCAGGTCTTCAGGCTTGTTCAGCACTTACTTTAACATACCATCTCTCCATCTCTTTTTAAAGGTGGTTTTGATAGTGTCTGTTTTCTTTGAAAGAGTGGTAACAATCTGGATACACTAACCAAAGTGTCCAGAGAATCATGGATAAACACGTTTACTACAGCATTGTTGTAGTATAAAAGGCGTTTTAGTTGAAGAAATGGCAGGTAGAGTACACTCACTTATTAGAATACTGTGTGGCCTTAAGGTAAGATGGAGCAAGGGAAAAGCAAGGTGGGCTGATATGCAAAGATATCCAAGTTAAACTAAGCTAAATAAAGGCATGCAAAATACGGTTTCTATGTGTGTTCAAAGGTTATGTGTGTAATTCTATAGAAGTAAAAACTTTCTAGAAAAATCCAGAAGATAAATACAAGTCTTTGAAGGGTGGTTTCTTATATGGATATCCAGAAAGCTACGGAAGGTGACTTCTGCTTGCCCGAACCCTGTCCTAACTGAATCGTAACCTAGAAATATCTGTTACCTAATGGTTTAAAAGTGGAATTCAAAACAAAATGACAAAGCACCAGGAGTCATCCCTATGGCTGGCAAGTGGAAGGCCCCCAGGGCCTGGGTGGCCTCCAGGGGCTTCCAGTTATGCAAAGTAGTTCTGCAGTTGCTGGTTGGGGAGGGGAGTTCTGGACTTGCCTTCCTGTTCCTTGCTGTCTCCCCTTTCCTCCAGACTGACATTCAGACTAGTCTCTAAATGTCTACTTGCCCTTGCCTGCCTTTTTCTCTTTCTCTGCCTTGCATGACTTAAATCCAGCAGTTCTACTAAGGACACCACAGAGGGGGCGTGAACGAAAGTTGACGAGTTCCTGTCCTCCCCCAGCATCCTCTGTCCTCAAACAGCCTGGCATAAACAGTAACGAAGGCTGGTGTTGGGTCGGGCATCCCAGCCATCCAGCTATCAAGCATGGGTAATCCCAGCTCCTCAGCATTTTAGGTAGTGAAAGAATAAGAGTGTATGTGAGGGACGCAGTAAAGAAACCACTGAGATGTCTACTCCGTGATTAGGGGGAAGTTTTTTTATTGTGGTTAAGAGAGAGAGAATATCTAGAGGCATCTGGAAGAGTCCAGAGCCAAGAGAAAAAGAAGCAGACTGGACATGAGCTAGGGAAGTGGGGAGGGGAGAGAGAGAGAGAGAGAGAGAGAGAGAGAGAGAGAGAGAGAGAATGGTGGGGAAGAGAAAGCAGAGAACGAGGGGGATTGTAACAAGGAAACACCTTGCCATTAAAAAGGGATCTGGACTAGCCTGGGAGCTAGCACAGTGCAGGAAGAGCTAGGGGAGTGAGAAGGGCCAGAACTCTAGTGTGGGGCCTTGAGATGTATAACAAGTACTTGTGAATGAGGACTGAGGGAGCCTGGAGGCCTGCATGGGCTTTGATATGGAACCACTTCTGGTATATGTCAGTGGAGAGCCATATGTCCCTTCTGCCAGAGGCAAGGGAAATGACTCCTTTTGATGGGTGGAAACCCATTCCACAAGTTGCTAGGGAATGCTGGGTTTTATTTAACAGTCAGAAATCCTCTAGTCCAGCTTGAGCTAAGGCCAAGAATGTCATTTATAGACATATGTAGTGCCTGTGACCTAACAAAGACCAAGTAAAAGAACTTTTCATTTGTAATTTGTAATCATTTTAATACTATAGAAAGAAAAACAAACAAACAAACAAAAACCCTTGAGGTATACATTGCAGCATCTCTGATGGCTTTGAGGGGACCATTGAGGATTGCTGGAGTCAGATTACTAGAAGGTTACTAATACCACAGACAGACAAAGAACAGCATGGCTGGGCCTCTAAGGAGAGTCCAGGCCCCAGCTCCACAGACAGACAGCATACTGCAAGCTCTGAAGAGGCCTCAGCTGATTGGAGGATGCCCACCGTGTGGAAAGAGCTGCTGGTTTGACCTGTCTGCTGGTTCCTGTGCTGATCTCACTAGGAAGTGCCATCATAGGCACAGGGAAGAGTCATATTTAATCAGGACAGTGCGGGTTAGTCAAGTTTATCCCTCCCCATGACACACACATGCAAATAAATCTTCAAAAATGTAAAAATGCCTCTCCCAAGTCCTAGGGTTCCAGCAGATGAGTTTGAGAAGGACACACACAAACCACAGCAGAAGTGGAGCTGACATGTACTGTTTACATCTAAGTGCTTAGGGTCCTGCCCAGCACACAGAGTCCAGCAAATGCAGACCCTCGTGACTCTTGGTATTTTTCATCTCCTGCCTACTACTCCAATAGCTGAAGTAGTGACACTTTTTCTACTTACAAATCACTTTTCCTTAGTTACTTGTGATTATGTAAGAGTCTACCATCTTATTTAACCACGTAAGGGCTGATGTTGCCTGACCTGTGATGAGCACTTAAATATTTAGCAGATGAAATTGAGAAAGCAGCCTTGAAGTCAGGGTGTGTGTGTGGGGGGGAGAGTCGTAATCTGTTCTGTCTCTTTCTCCCTCCTTGCCAACCACTGACAGCATGGCCCCTATTATATGTGTCTTGTATCGTTGTTGGGTTATCAAAAACACGCTGATCCATACCTTGTCTTAATGCCAGAGGAGACAAGACCTGGGTCTTCTGGAACAGCCCACAGGCTTTGCACATGCCTGTCCAGTCCATCCTGAGTGCAAACACTTCCCCTGAACTACTTGAGGCTGGTGGGGATCCAGCAAGCACTCACCTCTCACCACCCCACCTGTCTTCTTCCCTAGGGACAGGAGCTGACCATCCGCCAGATCTCCCTGCTGGGCTTCCGGGACCTGGTCCTGCTGAAGGTGAAGCTGGGTGACTGGCTGCTGTTGGCACAGTCCAAGTTGCCCTCATCCGTTATACAAATGCTGCTCATTCTGCAGGTGAGCGCTGGGGGAGGCCTGCTCCTCAGGCCAGCCGGTAGTGAAATAATCCAGCCCTGATGGAGGTGGGGAGGCGGTCTAACAACAGAGCCGGGTAGCTGAGCTGTGCGTCCTTTTCCTCGTCCGTCCGTGTTTCTTGGTTCACTGGCTCGTGTATTTGCTGTACACCATCAGGCCCCTAGTGCTGTACTCGGTGCTGGCGTTGGAATAAGGGGGAAAAAGACCTGGAACCTGATTTACTGGGTGCTGTGGCCTTCTCAGTCCCTGTGAAGGTGGGATTTGGGTGCTTGCATTCCCTCTGTTCTGAATGCTCTGTGGTCTGGGACAGTCAAGGCATATCCTGAACATTTCCCTCATGCTTCTGACCTCAGCACCCAGCCCAGGGTTTTGAGCACACAAGTAGGTGCCAGCTAGTGAGGAGTAGACATCCTTCTGTACTCTTCAGCTATGTCAAGGGGCCAAAGAGTGCAAATAATAACCAAGTATCTACCATAGTTGAGTCAAGATAGACCTGGAACTCCTAAATGGGCATCATGGCAAAGCAAGACCATGTCAGGTCTCAGAGCCACCAGCTCTGGTCACTTTCTGGTCTCGGTTTGGACGGTTCTTCCTTATTTTTTTGTGATGCTGTCTCTTGTGGCCTTGCCTGGTTGCTGCTAGACTTGGTCTTTCGCTGTTTGTGGAATTATTTGGATCAGATTACACGTGACGCGCCCTGGTGTTTGTGTCCAGCGAGCCACTACCCAGATGGCTCCAGGCTGTCTTCTCATCCCGATCCTAAATCTGCAACAGGAAGATGAGCTAACACTTCTCAGGCTCTGGTTGTTTGCCAGGTGCAGGCACAAGGACTATAAATGTACTGTTTTCTTAAACAATCCAAACAACCATTTTATGAGGTCAGCGTTGTTGTTATTCCCATGCTCCAGATGAGGAAACAATAACAGGACACTTCTGCGCTTGAGTGAAATCCCTCAGCTGGGAAGAGGTGCTAAGATTCTGATACTCAGAACGTCCTGCTCCCTTCTTGGGGCAACGGATCTGATCGGTGCATGTTGGGTTTGGGGATTCCTTTTGCCCAATCAGCTGTGACCTTGAATGAGGTCAGGTGGAACCCACATGCCCTGGGGAGTCCGTTCCCATGGATGGCTGTGCAGTTCTCAGGTTCCAGTCTCTACCAGGCTCTTGATGACTGGAGGAATGCCACCAGCTCCCCCTCCCCCAGCTACTATGCTTTTGGCTATCTTGGGGCCGTCTTTCTGCATATTCCCCTTTCCTGTAATCAGAAAAGAGGAAGGGTCATCGCAGAGATGACGGTGGGTATCAGTCTAGGTCCAGCCTTTTTGTAGGAGGGAAGAAAGGGATGGGCATGGCAAAGTGCCTGCAGCTTGCATCTGAAGTACTGAACACAGAGTTTAGCTCCCACATATGGAGTGTAGAAAAGGAGCCCCTGAGGATTCTGGGAGTGGGGTTAGGAAGCCGGGCTCCACTTTCAGTTTTTGTGTATAACCATTCGGGGAGGCATCCAGCGTTAGTTACTTCCCCTTTTGCTATGACAAAATACCTGAGAAAAACAACTTAAAAGAGGAAGGGTCATTTAGGTTTCCAGTCATCACCGCACAGAAGCCGTGGCAACAGGAAGGTGCGGCAGCTGCCCACACCGTATCTTGTATCTGTATCAGCAAGCAGAGAGGGATGGATGTTGGTACTCAGCTGGGTTCCTCTTTCCATGCAGCCTGAGACTCCAGTCCAGGGAATGGTGCTGTCCATGTGTAGGGTGGGTCTTCCCACCTCTATAACCTAATCTAGATAAGCCCTCACAAACAGGCAGGCATACTCCCCAGGGGGGTTTCCATTCTGACAGTCAAGTTAACTACTACACATCCCTTTCTATTTGTGGATGTGGTTGCCCTCTGAGGATTTTTTCCCCACTTGCAGGAGGACCTGTTTTTGTTCATGAAAGCCTTTTGAGGGTCTGGGTCCTGTGTAGAACAACCTGATGACACATGTCACCACCCCTTAAAGCCCCTGAAGATGCCCCAGAACTTCCATCTACTCTGCCCTGTCCAACTAACCCACCATGCTGTGTGTCTGCAACTTTTTCCATCTGATCTTAGGAAATCTGCTCAAGATGGTCCCTGGACCTTCAGCCCCTTCCACCTTTCCATCAGGTATTGGAAGCTGGCTTACCTGGTGCTCTGGCCTTCTTGGTCCCTGCGGGGCTGGGATCTGGTACCACTTTCTCTCTGCTCTAAACGTTGTCTGGAACAGTCAAAGCAAAATCTTAAGCTTCTTCCTCACGCTTGCACCCTCAGCATGCAGCCCAGTCTTGATTGTAAAAGTAGGTGTTCAAAAAGGGATGGAGCCAGCTAGTAAGATTTTAATGAAGAGGACCCAAGTCCATGGCCTTGGAGGACCATGGTGGCTTCTTCTTATAAAAGAGTGAAGCTAGAGAAGCTCCGTGGCTATGTTGAAGTTTTGGGAAATTGGCCAAGGAAACAGTCTCTGCTGTGAGTCTCCTTGGTTTTTTCCCACGTCAAGGTGGTGGACGATCAGAGACGGTAGCTAACTAAGAGGAGTATAGACCGATCCATGGGAGCTGGACCAGTCAGCCATTCCTCATTCACTCGCTCTGTCCTCTGAGCCTTCCTTCCTTCCTTCCTTCCTGCTCCTAGGTACAGGAAATACCCTAAGAACTTGTAAGATGGTCACACTCCAGGGTAGAGCACTTGGCATCTTTTCCCTCTGCACCTCCTGGGACTAGATCTCCTGGACCCTTCCTCCCTTGGATCTCACAGACCTGAGGCGGGAGGATGACAGCAGTCAACGTAGGTCTTTCCTCGGTCCAAATCTATTTTCTGGGGCCTGAGGGGCAGCAGCTTGGGAGTCAGAATAGAATGTTCAGGGAATAATCCACTCTGGAGCCACACCTGCTACAGGGAATGTACTGTGAATTGTCCGTTTTTTCCTAGGCCCTTACTCTCCACAGGACATGAGACCTGGGAATGATTTTCCCCAAATAACCTGACTCTGATACAAAGACAAAGAGCCTTTCTCAGACTTCAGCTCTCTCTTTCCACCAGCCTTCCACACATTCTTGAGCCAATCCCTCCCTTCTAGGAAGACACAAGGGCATCTCCTGCTATAGGCACAGAGCTCCTGTTCTCAAAGCCCCCCCCCCCCAGATGATGAGGGAGGCCTTCCGTTATTATGGGGCCCTGCCCAAGAGGCAGGGTGTGTGACGTTGTCCTTGGAGGGCCCTGGGCCTGGTTTAATCGTCTCCCATCTCCCACTCAACATTCTTAGTAATTTTTGACTGTAGGGCTCAGCGTCGTGTTTGGTACTGGGCCGTGAAAAGTTGTCTTTTACGGCTGTGTTTTGCTAAGTGGGCTAGCATGGGCTAGCGGTGGGGCAGAAGACTGAGGATGCCCTCACGGACCGTGCCCTTGGGAGAGCTCCCCAGCTCCAAGCTGGCTTATCATCCGTTTGCCTCCTGCCTTTTGCCGCTTCTGTTTCCTGTCACTTCTCTTCTGGGGGAAAAGCTAGAGAAGAAGTTGATGAGAACTAGCAAGAGAATACAAATAAAAGAAGAAGAAAGCCTTGATTAGGCTTTGAGACCCAGTAAAGGTGGTTTATGGCTTGGAATGCCCCGCCCCGAAGACCGGGTTGGGTCCCGCCCCCCCTTTTTTCCTACTGCCTTGAGTACCCCCCACCCCAATCTGGTTTGGGCAGGCCTTCCTAAGTAAAGCAGCTTATTTTCTTATCCTTTTCATTCCCAACGCTAAGCGTTCTCATGCCTGAGCTCAAGGGGAGTGGAGAGCAGTGTGGGGCGGCTCGCTGTGCCTATTCCCACGGCCACAGTCAAGTTCATCCCAGTGAATAGTCACTTACTCTGCATTGGTCTCTTCCCTCCCTTTCTAGTCCCAGACTGCAAGCTCTGCATACACCTGTAGCTTCTTCTTAGGTTTTTGTTTTCTTAAACCACCCAACACCCAAGCATCTGCATCTCATTTGATGTAGCTGAGGAGGGCCAAGGGAGAACCCGTTTCCTAGGAACCACATCTCATCCGTCCAATCCCTGATCTGCAGGAGTGGGCCCAACCTGCTTCACTCCACAGACAACTCGGGCCCGTGATGAGCTTTGTGTTGTTTTTAAGGAAAGCCATTCAGGGTCTGTTTTGGAGAATTTGAGGAGATAATCTTTCTGGCTATAGAGACCCCTGGAGCCTCCTTAGGCCCTTTCCTGGTGATCTTTGCCACCCCTCATCAGGAGAGCACATTTTCACACCCTTTCCAGAGTGAGAAACAGTTCACAAGGAGCATGCTGTTTTTTTTTTTTAAGTGTAACTGTTATTTTTATTTATTGGTTTTTCTTTTTTTAAAGGCTACCCACTATATTATTCCACTGATATGCAATAATATCCAGAATACACACATCTTTTCTTAATTTTTTTATGTATATGAGTGCTCTATTGAATTTTTGTCTGAAGAGGGCATCAGATCCCACTATATGATGGTTGTGAGCCACCATGCGGTTTCTGGGAATTGAACCCGGGTCCTCTGGAAGAGCGGCCAGTGCTCTTAACCACTGAGCCATCTCTCCAGCTCCAGCTGCTGGTTTTCTAGGAAGCAGGTTTTTACCAGCCCCTTTCCCGTTTTGGCTGCCATGCATTTATTTTGGTTGGCTTTTACCCAAGGCTCAGTGTGAGGGCTCTGGCCCTGCTGGCCCAGTTCATGCTGAAATCAGACTGAGGACCACTCTTCCTCTCTTCTCTCCTGGACTTTTCAGTGCTCTTCCTCCATTTTCTAACCTGGTAACAAGTGACCGTCACATGGGCTCAGAGCCAGGTAGCTTGGGTTCTAGTCTAGGGGGCTTTTTTTGTTGTTATTGTTCTTCATTCTTATCATTTGTTGGCTGTGTTATACTAGGCAAGTTTCCTAAGCCCCCTCCTGGTCTTTATTTCTGGTCATTGGAAGGATTGCTCGAGACAGGATTTCTCTGTGTAGCTTTGGTAACTGTCCTGGATCTCACTCTGTAGACCAGGCTGGCCCCAAACTCACAGAGATCCACCTGGTTCTGCCGGGATTAAAGGCGTGTGTCACCACCGCCCAGCTCACACGCAGTGCTTTTGTGAAGTGCCTGTGTGCTGTGGGAAAGTTCTCCACTCCTCTGTGGGTGACATAATTGTTGGACCTTGCCACCTGCCCCTTTGGAGCCAGAGTTAGGACTATGCTATATACACTGTCCTGGGAGAACCCAGATATTGTTCTTAGAAGGCCCAGTTTCTGGTTTGTTTTTTGAGGCAGGGTTTTTCCACGCAGTAGCCCTGGCTGTCCTAGAACTTCCTCTGTAGATCAGGCTGGCCTTGAACTCAGAGTTCCACTTGCCTCTTCGTTTCTGGTTTAATTAATCTCTCATTTTCCACTCAACATCCTTACTGATTTTTCACCTCAGGGCCTTGCATCTTGGTTTTGTCCTGGGTTAGGAAAAGCTGTCATTAGTGTTTTGCTAGGCAACCTGGCAGAGGGGCTGAGGATTGGGGACTGCTGCCTCTGAAGGGGTCAGTGCAAGCTCTGTCCCCATGGCCCGTGGACCTGGGAGAGCCACCCAGCTCCAAGTCTTGCATTCATCCTTCCCCTCCCTCCTGTTCCTCGTCTCCATTTCCTGTGTTCCTTCATTCTCATCCATTGACTTGGGACAGACGACCAGCGCTTCTGGCCTGTTTCCTTCATTCTAACCACCAGGAGCCTAACTGTGACCAACACTGCCTTGTACCCAGAGGAGGGCCACTGGGAGGTGCTGACAGGTGTCCACCGCTTCGACACTTCTCACTAACCTTTATCTGTCCTGGGTCTTTATTTGTAGAGTGTTCACGAGCCCACAGGCCCAAGTGAGGGCTATCTGCAGCTGGAGGAGCTGGTGAAGCAGGTGGTGTCTCCCTTCCTTGGCATCAGTGGGGACCGCAGCTGCACAGGCCCCACGTACTCACTGGGTAAGAAGATCATAGCTCTGAATTCCAGAGGCTTGGGGGTAATCATTACCCCCAAGCTACATGGGTACTGAGCACCGACTGTCTGCCTAGCGCTTTGTGCCAGTGAAGGCCGGTGCAAATCTTGGTTTGTTAATTACAGATGTTCCTAGGCCATGTGGCAGCAACCCTGCCCCTCTACCAGTCTTTCTCAGAGACTGATCCCGGCCCCTGTAGTGGTTCCTGTCTTATCCATACCTTTGATCTTTGAATGTGCCTGGACATTAATTTTCTTGTATCTAATACCAGAAACTGTGTGTGTATGTGTGTGTGTGTGTGTGTTTTTAAATTATGCCAGCCTTAGTCTGGGTTACTATTGTTATCATCAAACACCATGAACAAAAGCAACTTGGGGAGGAAAGGGTTTATTTCACCCACCATTCCATGTAACAGTTCATCATTAAAAGCAGTGAGGGCAGGAACTCAGGCAGGACAGGAACCTGGAGGCAGGAGCTGATGCAGAGGCTATAAAGGGTTGCTTTTTACTGGTGTGCTCCCCGAGGCTCGCTCAGCCTTCCTTCTTATAGAGCCCAGGACCACCAGCCTAGGGATGACACCACCCACAATGAGCTGGGCCCTCCCTCCCAGCAATCACTAATTAAGCAAATACCATACAGGCTTGCCTACAGCCAGATCTTAAGGAGGCATTTTCTTAATTGAGGCTCCCTCTTCTCAGATGACTTTAGCTTGTGTCAAATTGACATAAAACTAGCCAGTACAACACCCTCCGCTCATATGAGTGGACACCACCCATTATATTTCTTCCCTTGACAGCAGCTCGGCATGTGAAGCTACCATGTTGCTGTCACGGCCAGATCTTTCATCCATAGGTACTGCAAGGTCTTTCACCGCAAGGGTTGGGGTTCCTGGGTTTGGGGATACATTCTTCTGTCCTAGTCTCTTTAAAGTATCCAGAGGGGAGTCAAATCTGGTCCTTCTCCCAGTGACAGCACAGTCTAGATGGTCTCAGAAGTGGCTGATGATGTAGTACCATCTACTGTAGAATAGTTCCCGATAATACCACGGTCTTGGTGGAAACAGCCCTGTGAAAGGCTTGTGATAAAGACTCCGGTCACTGCCTGAGATGTAAGCACTTAACGTGCAGACACTCACTTGCTTATTTCTGTCTTCAGCGTCTGCAGTGGTGCCCGACATCTAGCCATGCAGCAATACAGCAGGTATTCGAGCATGATTGTTAGATGCATGCAGGCAACTGTACTCCCAAGCCTGGGCGGCCAGCACCCACAGAAAGGTGCAGAACAGGAAACATCACCTGGATGGGAATCTCTCGGCCGCCCTCTTTCTGCTGTGATAGAGTTGTCGTTGAGCCAAGGAGGCAAGGAGCAGTCTCCAGGAAGCTTGCTGCCCCTCCTGGGTCTCTCGGTGTAGCAGGCTGAGCCTTCTGCTGGCAGTTTTCCTGGCCCTGGTCCTGTCTCTCTGGGGGTACCAGCTTCACCTCATCCACAGACTGGAGGAGGCTGGCTCCAGTCAGCCGACCCCCAGGTCTTTCCACAGCCTTGATCTCTGCTCTCTTCCTCACCCCCTTGACATAAGATCAGAAAGCTATTGAAGGAGGACAGCCTCCCACCCTCCGCCCTAAGCTGGATGCTATATTGCTGCAGTCTCCATGGAGCCTACCCTCTTTATTACTGCCTGGGCTCATGTCATTTCAGGGATGGGGACCCAGGGAGATGTCAGGATGCCAGCAGGTTAGCTGAATTATGCCAAGAACTCTACCATAGTCAGGGCCTAACGCCAACAGAGAGGAAGAAAAATAACTTTTCTTCAACCCCCATAAGCTCTTAGTTGGAACAGATCCCTGTAATAGATTAACGAGAAAAACAAACAAGTGTATTGAAACATATGTTCTCACATGCAGGAGAGAATCCAGGGAACAAGTACTTTTCAAACAGTTGGCTTCGAGTCCCTGTTTATGTAACATCTTTAATAAAGAACAATAATTTTTTTGAGAACAGGGTCTTAATGTAGCCCAGGCTGGCCTCAACCTTACTATGTAGCCGAGGATGGCCTTGAATCTCCGGCTTGGGCCTGGTTCTTCATTGCCTTTCCTTCACTAATCTTTCATGTTTTAAGAATTACTGTATTGTTTTATGTGTATGGGCTTTGCCTCTAGGTATGCACTTGTGTGTCTAGTGCCCAAAGAGGCCAGAAAAGGGCATTGACTACCCTGGAGCTGGAGCCACCCTGTGCTGCTGGGAATTGAATCTGGGTTCACTGGAAGAGCAGCCAGTGCGCTTAACTGCCACTCCATCTCTTCAGACCCCCATTTCATGTTTTGAGGAGGCATATTCTGGTTTCCCAAGCCTGAAACAAGGGTAGATATAAGAACTCCACGAGGAGCTAGCTACCTCTGGGTCTCCAGCCCAAACAGGAATAATACACACTTTTGTCAGATAAGGCAAGGCCTGAGACTTTATTCTTGTATGAAAGACAGTGTATTTTTTAAAAATTACATTTATTTTATTTATTTGTGTGTGTGTGTGTGTGTGTGTTTGTGCGCATGCGTGCACTCATGTGTGTGAGTGTGCATGCTCATACCTGTCCATCCATCCATCCATGCCACAACCCTAGTATGGAGGTCAGAGAACAGCTTATGGGAGGCCATTTTCTCTGGTGACAGGCACCTTTACCTGCTGGGCTATTCTGCCAGCCCAGTCCTTATTTTCAAAAGGGACTTTGTCTTAAAAGGGACAGAGGGTGGCCATGATCCTATTTGAGCAATTTAAAAATTATTGTTATTCCAGTTAATAATAATCTCAGCAGATGTGTCCTCAGCCTCCCTGCCAGGCACCTTGTGTTGCTGCAGATGTGCTAGTGAGCAAAATGGGATCTGTTCCTGCCCACAGTCCAGTGAGGGCCAGGGTAAGGCAGGGAGTCACCTGTGCATGGATGCTCTGACGGGGAAGCACAGGGACCCCCCAGACAGGACCCTGGGGAAGGCTCCCTGCAGGAAGTGAGGTCTGTTTGGGGAGGTGGGGGATGTGCAGGAGTTGGCTGGGAGACTGTCCAGTCAGGGAGGACCACTGGGAGGACCAGGGGGTCGTGGGAGGGCCAGAGGATGGAGCACTTGAGGAACGGAAGGAGCTTCAGAGGTTCGGAGTCACTAGTGGCAAGAAATAGTGCTGGTCACAGGCCAAATAGTAGGCCCTGTGCTGGGCGGGCTCTGGAGTAGGGTCACCATTCCTGCGTTATAAGGGCTAAAGTCGCTGGGCTCTTTGAGTTAGGACCCCAAAGCTACGATGTTGGAGTTTCTGCAGCTGCCCTTGACAACCCCCCATCCCCCCAACTCAACACTGTCAGCATTGAGGACAGGAGTTCATTGGGGCGTAGTAGTATGGGTGATCCTGACTTTCTATCCCTTCATCCAGGAGGTGTCCCAGGCCAGACCTCTGCATGCTAAAAGCTGAGGTGACCTTCCCTACCCTTTGGGGACAGAGACCTCTATTGATGGTGAAAGTCCCATTCATTCAGTCTGGGTATTAAAGACAATAATTGAGGGGTTGGAGAGAGGCTCAGAGGTTAAGAACACATACTGCTCTTGCAGAAGACCCAAGGTCAGTTTCTAGAAGCCACCACAACCACTGTAACTCTAGCTCCAGGGAGATTACAACACCTCTGACCCCCGTGAACCATTCACCCAGGTGCACACCCACACACGGACACACATATATACACATAATTTTTTAAAAAAATGGACAGTGAAAAAATTTGAAGAGTCACGAGAGATCCTTTTATCTGGGGCAAGGCTGGGCGGTGGCTCCTGAGACCAGAGCAGCATGAGATTTGCCTTCAGCCAGTGGCCATGCTGCACACTCCTGTCCAGGCTGTTGGCAGGTGTGCATGGCCTGAGGAGGGTGGTGCTGCCGTTTCTCTTGGGGTCCCTGGGAAATGCCCCAGCTTTGCAGGCCAGAACGGCACTTACCCTGTATCCCTGCCGTGTGCCCTGCATCTTCGACTCCAGAGATGCTGGGGCCATGACTTACTGCACCTGGATCTGTACCAGGACAAGGAGTCTTGCTTTAGAACAACAGATAAGTGATCTAATCCAAGGCCCCAAATGGAGTGTGAGCGTGTGCGTGTGCGTGTGCGTGTGCGTGTGCGTGCATGTGGTGTGCAAACCCGCCCCTCTAAAGCCTCATTTTTTTTTTTTTATTGCTACCAGAGGACAATGGCGGTATCAGGTGAGGAAGGCAGCGTGAAACTAAAAGAACAGCAAACACACACTGGAGGCCTGACCCAAGCGCTGCCTTTCACGTTACCCAAATTCCTGAGCTGCCTGAGGTTTCCTGAGCCTCTCAGGGCCCCTCCTCTGCCGCAGAGTTTCGGAGGCTAGATTCCTCCCTCACAAAAGCCCGAGCCTCCCACACCCTCCCTCCTTTGTATCCCTGAGGCCCCTCTGTAGCCTGCCCCGTAGCTGGACACTAGCTTCTCTGCATGACAAAGGCCGTCTGGGCCTTTCAGGTTCGGGACTAGAGCAGGAGCCCTCAATGGCTTCGGTAGGCAGGGGCATTCTGGGAGCCGAGGAGATCAAAGGCCTGTTGGGGAGCCAATCCCCCAATAAAGGACCTCCCTACGCAGGCTTTGCCTCTCGAGGAGTCTGAAAGGAACTGTGATGGCTGGCTTTCACAGGGATGAAAGGCTGGCTCGGTTGGGGGCCTGTGAGCCGGGAATAAAGGCTCTGCCGGCCCTACCTTGTGGAAGTCAAGGAGGAAGGGGACGGGGCCTGAGAGCGGGTGCCAGCTGAGGTGGCAGACCAGCCTCTCCCTGCAGGAGTGCCCCATCACCAGGACAGCCCAGTCTTTAGGTCTCAGGTGTTCCTAGGAAGACAGTCACAGCCAGTCCCTCAGTGGGAGACCCTGTTCCCTTTCCTCTGGGGACAGGGGACTGCCATCCCTGGTACAAAGAAAAAGAGGGGAAGAAGATAATGAGCTCAAGGGTGGGAA